GATTTGCGGTGCGGCTGAACTGCGGTGCATATCGGTGTCTTTTCACTCTGACAGAATGTTGTCGTGTCTGATTATTCGATGCCCGGCGCGCAGTGCTTGCGCAATGTGCGATTCGCAGGCGTTTATTGAGGCCTATTTTGACCTGTGTGTCGTGAAGGTGCATCTTTGTAACTCGTAGCTTTGATTGAATGCGTTATCGACACGACAGGAAAGCCGATTGAGCGAATGGCGCTGTTGTGGTGCTTGAGAAAACAAGTTTTTTCGACAAAGAATATGAGCATTCGTTTCGTCTAGATCGGTTTTGGTGACACGCCATTGTTTGGCAGGCGCACGGGCAGTCGCAGATTTACGCCTTGTTTGTGAATAAGAATGGTGGGGTTTTGATTTGAATGAGCATTGTTCGTCTTGTTGGAGTTGCGTTAGAGAGCCACAACTGCTACTCAGAACAAGATGTATTTGTAGATTCTATCATTTTTCTTATCGACTCATTTTTCTTACATAATAATGCATGACAGCTGATAAATGCGCAAAGCCGAAAACTCCCGATACTTTATTTCAACTTTTTATTAATTTTTATCTTTTCGGCTGATGTAAGAGGAAAGTTAAATCCTCTTATTATCTTCATAATGTCTCCCAAAACGGTGTTCAAAACCATTTTGGATAATTTTTCTTATCGTTTTAATAAAAGCAAGCAATCGTGTATGAGCATAAATTTGACATACATTTGAGGACTGGCTCCCTCCTGATTTGTTTCTAAATTTTCGGATTTTGCAGTTGAATGGGCTTATTTGGTACCAAGGGATAAACGCTGCATGACATTTCAATCAAAACTCGGATGATCTTAGATGTTTTAAGCGTAGAACCACTTCATTTCCTACACACAGGACTTCAGTGTTTACAAACAAATGCAAAAATATATGCAGATTCGTGTACCAATACAGAATAACTGTACCCAGCTCAACTGAAGTTTTCTAATTAATCAAAACTGATTTTCTTTAATGAGGTTATAATGTATAAAGTATACATTTGTACAGCATTAGTTTTGGCAATTATCGAGAAAAACTGATTTTCTATTTGATATCTGACTTTTGGTTGTGATATTCCACGCATACCGATTTGTTAATGTTTACACATGGAATTTCAACAAATATACGGTACAGAAACAACAGAAACGAAAGAGCATTCGTCACTGCAGTTTAGCCCACATTTCCAGCAAATGCGATAATCACAGTCCATCTCGAATTCGCAATAATACATCGAAGTCCGTAGACTCTTCATTTAGGAGCTGCATGGGGCTCATTTCATGAATGACCACACGCGCACCAACAGTTTATTACGAGCGAGCGAGCGCAGCGAGCGAAGTGAGTCTTTTCAATATAACAGAAAAATCTCAGTATGAGCGGCCCGGCCCGGCCCGGCCCGGCTCGGCCCGGCCTGTAACGCTTTTGAGAGGCTTATATCTCAGCAACCGCTGGACCGATTGGCCTGCGGTCTTTTTGGTTGGGTAGCCCCATCCCTTCTACCCCGTAATTGACTACTTTTGATACATCTCAGTGACCGCCGTGGCACGTGCCACGTGAAAAGTCAAGGGTGTTCAAGCAGTTTTGCAAAAGTAATGATTTTGAGAGGCCCATATCTCAGCAGCGGCTTGAGCGATTGTCTTGCGGTCATTTTTATAGGGTAGCTGCATCCCTTCTACCAAAGGTCGGATACTCTTCATCTGTGTGAGTGACCCCTACTGCACGTGCAAAATACAACAATAAGAGGTGCCAAATTTGTTCCCATTTCAGTAGCTCGGTAATTACTGGGGCGATTTCGCTGAAACTTGGCATACAGGTAGGCACCCACAAGGTAATGCATTCCCATGTGTTGCGGTTAGGGTGCTGCTGCACGTGCGCACGTGCAGGGGGCGTTTCCAGATCTCGAGAACGGCTGGGCCGATTGCGCTCAAATTTGGTACACGGTTGGGGACCAGTTAGTAGGGTGCCGTGCAAAAGTCGGTTTGGACCCCGTTTGCACGTGCGCACGCCCAGTAAACATGACGACGTCGGCCCGACATCGGCTGGACGTCGGATATGCCCGCATGTTCCGACGTCCAGCCGAAGTCCAGCCGACGTCGAGCCGACGTCGGGCCGAGATCGTTTGCCGAGGTTGACGAGATCGTTTGTCGTTGGACCGACGGGGCCGACGTAGGCATGTTTATTGGGACAACGCGCCAAAAATATCAACCGGCGGCGGGATTCGAGCCGCCCAGTCGCCGACGTCGGCATGTTTACTGGGACAACACGCCAAAAGCATCAGCCGGCGATGGGATTCGAACCCCGTGTCATTTGAACGCGAGGTTAGTGCGCTAACCACTACACCACGCAGCCGGATAACGAAAATGGTTTGTTTTGTTGGGTTATGCCCTTTCGGTCTGACAAGACCATTTCAGAGCCGGAAGGATCATAGGATGGAGACATTGGTCTTCTTGGCGAGCACCCTGGGTCCAGTTCATATGAGTCCCTGTCCCATTGCTGGTACGTGACACTTATTGGAAAGGGCGATCCCACAATGGATTCATATAGCCACTCTTACACACCTGCACCAACGTTTCCCAAAGTGTCCCTTTGATAAGTGGCACTTTGGCAAAGTGACACTTGCCGACTGGCCTTTCTATATGAACTGGGCCCGGCCCTGGTGAGTTGCCGGGGCTGAGCCTGACCAAAGGATAGGCCGAGCAGCCCCCAAGCACTCACCGCACCCGGCTACGGGCGAGCTCGGCTTACGGGCAATCCCAAATGGGATAAAGTTTCCCGCCCAGTCCGGATCAGGGGGTTGCGGCGTGGAGGAACATAAGGTACCTTTTTTCATTTAAAGGGACCCTCCCACCTTCAAAAAAGTTTCAAGAGTTTCCTGAGGATATTTTGAATACAGAAGCTCTTTATGAAACATGAAACATGCATTTTATATTATTTTAACGGTCAAAACAGCGGCCGATGTCGGTCCGACGTCGCCCCGACGTCGGCCCGACGTCGGCTGGACCTCAGCAATTGATCTCGGTCCGACGTCGGCCCGACGTCGGCTGGACCTCGGCTGGACGTCGGAACATGCGGGCATATCCGACATCCAGCCGACGTCGTGCCGAGGTTGGACCGACGTCGGGCCGACGTCGGCATGTCGATGCCGAGTTGCCGACGTCACCCCGACGTCAGCCGACGTCGGGCCGACGTCGGCATGTTTACTGGGCGTGCAGAATGCCGCTTCCAGATCTCAGGAACGGCTGGGCCGATTGCGTTCAAATTTGGTACACCGCTAGCGACCGGTTAGAAGGGTGCTTTGCGCAAGCCCGTTGGAAGTACCCTCTCGCCCTTCCGCATGTGCAGGGCTCACTATCTCGCTCGCTCGTTCTTCGCCCAAAAGGCGTTTTACTGGTACATAGTACATACATAGTTCACACAACACAGCACCGGCTTGTCAACTATACTCACTGAAGAACAACAAAGCCTTACATTTGATTTGCGACTGGTTAACAGATTAGGCTAAATAACTCACCCTTATTCGAGGAGGATGATCAGTTTAGCATGAAAGTATAAAATTAATATTGGCCTGAAAAGATTCAAATTTTCTGACGAGTCTGGAGCTGCTGACACATTAATGTTTGTCCAAAACGTTTTATTTTGTAAAACCTTAACAAAAAAAAAACCTGTCGGCATGGGTAATCCAAATTTACGTACGGCTTTTCCCATTTTTTTTTTCACAAATTGCAAACTGAAGTAGATTAGCTTTACATTACATCTTCATCTTTTCATGTATGACTATCGTCTAGCCCTCGCCCGTATTGGTGTTTTTCCAGCCATGAACGTATAAGGGGGGGGTCCGTTGGACCCCCCCTTGCCGTTTCGCCCCTGATCGAGCTAGAGCTTCGCGGAAAAAAAACGAGCGTGTTGCCCGTGACGAGAGGAAGCCGATGATACCTAATTTTAAGGTCCTAGATCATTGGTTGACCTTGCAGGTCAGGTCAATGACCCAAAAGTCGGGAAAATCGGGACCTGTTAGAACGTCGTAAAGTGTGGCTGCTATGGGGTTTTTCGGGGCGCTGATCACGAATATCATGTTAGTTTTGATCACAGATGATGTCTTTATGCATTTAATCAAGGTCGGGTCAGGTCAGGTCAGGTCAACCAGTAGGGGTCCTGCCGGGTAGGTGTCAACCGCCTCTGACAGCTTCGTAACATGTTACGAAGGCACCAAAACTACTTCGTAAATGTTCATATGGTTGCTAAATTCGAATTCAGCTCCAAAAACTGGCCTAGAAACATGTAAAACTCGAAAAAGTGAACCGAGGTCACCAAAGGTCAGTGACCTGACCTGACCTTCAGGTGACATTGACACCCACCCTAATGCATGGGGGCAACGTCATATCACATGTTTGAACGCTTGAAACCACGAAAAGACTGCAAACGCGCGGTTAATGCGAGCCGACATACGCCGAATCGCGATTGCGGCCAAACATGGTCTCGAAAAGTAGGTCACAGGTCAAAGGTCATTGGGGTCAGGGTCATGAAATTTTCAGGGTAGGTGTAAAATTGATTAACGCGAGGGTACTGAAAGTTTCGTCGCGATCGGCCGCTTTTTACGCGAGTTATTCGCGAAAAACCATGGGGGGGGGGTCCGTTCGACCCCCCCCCCCCTATACGGGCGAGGGCTAGTTCACAAAATTCAGTTTTATGATTAACACAGCCTATGGTATGCCGTCTAAACTAAAGGCAAATGTGTCCGCTTGCATGGTGATAAATAATCTGATCTCGAGATTCATCAGCTGAAAATATGATACTTGTTATCATGTTCTAAGCAATACGGCCTCCTGTAAACTAATTTGACCAATATTGGATCTCCAGCTGAGGCAGGACATGTAAATAACCTAGGGAGTAAATTACTTCCCTGATGTTTCACGACATTTAGGACCGTACAGCACTACACCGCTTTTTGAATAATCAAACAGTCGGAGCTGTCAGCGTCGTTCGTTTCGTTTATTGTTGATAACGATCCAGTAGGTACAACATAAAAACATCACATCAAACGCTTTTATGAAGCTGTTTTTTGTCTACTTACCTAATTTCGTCTAATGATGTGGGTAAGTGAATACAGAAGTTACTTATGACCGAATGTAAAACATATCATGACGGTTCAATATTACGTAGACTTTGTTCGGTGGTCTTTAATAAAATATGCAATAGTCAAACTAAACGGGTGCTTATTAAACATCTATCTTTAATGTCAGGAACGTATTGCGGGCGAACAACAAACAATAAACACTCAATAACCTTACGTCCTTTTATGCCTCCAACGTTGTGCGCTCATACAAACCAGACTGTCGGTGGCTTGGCAGGAATAAACACAAATAAAACCACCTGAGGCAAACACTGAGAATCAACACCAAGTCATGGAATACAAACCATCGTCCAACGTCAAACTGTACATGTGCGCGAGCTCAGCGCCGAATTCAGTCACTCATACACATTACATACACAGAGCCACACTTCGCAACACATTTCCCACACATCACACCACATTTCCGCAGTGCGCCTCACTGGCGCTCGGCACAGCGCCACACAGGCCGCTCATAGGGCCCGCACTAGCCCCCCGATCCAGCGAGCGGCGCCTGAAACACTGGAGACGCCAGGTAACGGAGCCAGTGAAGGCATGAAAGACTGGGCGCTGAGGCGCGCCGGCGTTTGCCGCTGGGTCCGAGATCGGATCCAAGATCGGATCCGAGATCGGATCCAAGATCGGGTCCGCGATCGGATCCAAGATCGGGTCCGCGATCGGTCCGATGGGTCCAAGACCGGAGCCTTGTGGTCCGAGTACAGGACGTGGTGACAGTGTCACATTTAGTTCCACTCGGGCTCACATGACGGGAGACGCACGCCACCGGACCTGTAGAGCCGGTCACCGCGCCTTCCCGATCGTCCCGTATCGACCCCGTCTCGAGTGCGGCGGTCGCTCGTCCGCGCCGCTGACGATCGCACCGTCATCAGCCGGCTCCGAGGAGCGTGATAATTCACTGTCATCTCATCACACGGCGCTGTCATAGTGTCACACTTACACCATCACACCGATCCCCCCTCACATACCCCCTCAGAGCCGCGGGGCTCCGGATCTCATCCGTCGCTGCCAGCCGTCCGACCGTCCGAGCCAGGCGATTACCGACCCCCTGCCGGCGGCGGCGGACCACTAGCCGCCCACTTCCCACCATTCGTCTCCGGCTCCTTCCGCGCCCCGGCGAGCCGATCGGCCGGTCGCGGCTCAACCCCACCGAGAATCAGAGTATCAGCGAGAGCGACGCCTCACGTGTCCAGGAGATGTGATTCCACTCCATTTTTGGGTTGTGGAGTTTGAGATGTCCACCTGTAGACTCGGTGCGGTGGTGGTCACCCCTTTCACCTGATGCTTCTGGGATCCCGCCGGCTCTATGGTGACCAGCAGTGATCAGTCGAGCGCTGAGCAATAGCGGTGGCCTGCTGTGCGGCCCAGCAGACACTAGCCGCGGCCCAGCAGCAGCGCTGTTCCACTCAGCAGTAGCAGCAGGGAGGCGGCGGCTGATTGGCTCAGACCGTACTGACCGCTGGTCTGCATCGCTGCTGGGTGGTCATCTGAAACAGAGAGTTGCAACAGGTCAGTCAAGGTCAGGAGGGTCAGTCGGGTCAGCATGGCTCAGTCAGATCAGCTTGGGTCATCTTGGGTCAGTAAGGTCAGCTTTGGTCACTCTGGGTCAGTTGAGTCAGCATGGGTCAATTGGGTCAGCAAGGGTCAGCCAGGTCAACTTGGATCAGTCGGGTCAGCCTGGGACAATATCGTCAGCCTGAATTAGTCATGCTAGCGTGGGATAGTTGCATTAGCCCGGTCAATATGGTCGTGATGGGGGAAGGACATTGGGTATAGCGCATGGCGATGGCAATAAGCGCGTCTGGGCATTTGACAGGCTTGATGTAGCCCGTGAATAGACGATGTCGAGAGTTGTCAACTACATTATATGCAAAATTAGATAGTGGCAGAGTCGGAAAGCAAGTTGATGTGAAGCCGACAAAGATATTTGGGCCTTCGTATCACAGTTTAATTAAAGATGACGTCCGCTGAAATAAAGCCAAGTAATTGAGAACGTCTCCATGGAAAAATAGCACACTACCCATCAAATGACATTATCGGGTCAAAAATAATGAATGTTTTTGAAGAGCCGGCTGACAAAGCCAATCATGCGCCGACCAAAAGAATTGTCTTTCAGGCTGGTCGGCCGGCGGCAGTGATTAGTCCAGCGCCCAGCAACACTCGGAGCAGGCTGGGTCGCACAGCGGACACTGCAGAAAAAGTGTAATCTTATCGGAACCATATCACGGACGCGGGACGGCCCTGCGCCTCCAACGAGAAGTTATCGAAGAAGGACGAGACTGGCCTCTCCCGAGGAGGCAAACAAACCGGTCGATAGTGCTTCTGGAGGCGATTAAACCGTCAAGTTGGCAGATTTGGAGCCATAACGCTATACACAGACGTCGTTCGATGGAGCGCGCTCCTTCATGCGATGGTTATTGGGATCGAGAAGCACTGCTGCCAAGCCGAATGCATGCCTATTCACTCTAAACGTCGTCGTCACTCAGTATAGATCCGTAGCTTGGAGCGCTGCGCCGTGTTTTAGAGCGTTGGAGCGATGTACATAAAGAGACCACGCTAATGTCGGCTATTATCCATGACTTGTGCTCCTCTGAGAGCTCACTGGTGCTGACACAGCCAACTATGTGGCCGGCTTGTTAGCGCTGAGAGCTGACGTAATTTTATTAGTTATTTGTGCCCCCCGCGCCAGTGCGTCAGAGCATTCACTTTGCCCTTCAACTCTCGGCTGGCTCATGAAAAGCTGGTAAATGTCGGCATCAGTCACAGCCCGAGCAGCGTCACCGGAACTGTGACGTAAGCTCGTAGAGCTAGTACGTTGCAAGAAACATTTTCAGTCAAGTTTACACATCAGATAGATTTACGACGATCAGTCTAGCGATTTACAGAGCCACCTTAACCTTGTAACCACCTTGCTTGGAGGAGTCCGATCTCTCCCACACTTGGGATGCTAGCTGAACTCCATGGCTTTTCAACTGACATCCCGGACGGCGCTTGGAGATGTTGCAATTCGAAGAAAATATGCATAGAGGCGTGAGGACTTTCAGCACTCACATCTCACAAGAATATTTGATAAAGTAAACTGCAATCACTGACAACCAAAACGATTCTCTATTCCCTTTGATCATGGTGTGTCATGCTCCTATAACTCTGCCGTTTTCCTGGCGGAATGCCCTTAAGATACTCAAATGATTCCTCAAATGATTCCTTTTAAGCATATCAGGGGTTTTGGTCTAAAACAACACCCTGATCATTTTCTTCGAACATACCCAAACTATACCGTCATTCTTTAAATACCTCCCTTGAATTCTTCTAATATACCCTAGTGTACAGTCTCTGCCGCTACTGTCAGATACCGTATATACCTGTGCCGCTCGGCGCCTCCGGCGGTGACCGGTCGGCGGGCCGGGACTGGCCGGCAGGGCGGGCGAGGAGGACGGGCAGTCGCTCCCTGGACGTGTTGCTGACCACTAATGGCCCTTTCACACGTAGCAACTTTTCAGTCGCCGGCGACAGCAGCAGTCGCCGGCGACCGCCAGCGACCGCCAGCCAACGATCGTGTGTGACGTAGGTATGACGTAAGCAAGTCGGTGGCGATCGCCGGGCCACGGCCGGGCAATCGCCAGCAACTGGTGACGTCAGATCCGCGTCACAGGCCAGTCGCCGGCGACTCTTCTCGAGCAGCGGACGCCGCCATGACAGTTTTGTCCTTGGTGAGTGGTTTAGGTGATTTGTGATGCATTTTTGGTTGGTGTGGCTACCTTAAATTTGTTGCACAGTAGCATAGGGATTATTATCTTGTAGTTTGCCTGTCGTGAAGCTGTTGTGACTTGAATTTAAGCTTGATTCGACAATATTGGAGGGTTTATGTCATTTGTGGCGCACTTGCCCATGATCACCCATGATTTTTATTTGTGATAAATATGCATTTTTTCATCAAAATTGAATATTTTAATGACATTGAAATTGACACTAGTTTCATAAGGTAATGAAAACTTGCTTGTTGTGTCACAAGAACATTGTTTACATTCAGTATCAGTGCCCTTGAGGACAAAGTGCCTACCTATCAGTCAGCTATTTGCCTACCTATTCGTGCGACACAAGGAAATATTTGATAGCAACAAAATATTATATTGCTGCTCATTAATTAGCATGATCAAAATCAAACAGGTAGCTTTGCAATTTTGTTATTGTTTCTGCTGGAGTTTTCCTTGGTACCATGGATAAACAACCCAGGCCAAACTTAATCCGCATTGGGTTCGCATGTGTGTGCATGCTCACATGGCAAATGATAATCCATGGCTTATTAGTACATAAATAATTGCATTATGCACAGTAGGTGGTAGGTATGTCATGTATTTTGGCAAGGTATTAGGTGGTATGTATTTTGGCCCTGGAGCTGTTTCCTATTCATTGCAGCAATGCTGCCGGCATGGCTTATGTGTACCATGCGCACACAAGCTCCACCAATGTAAAAATGTCATTTTCACACAAAACTCATAATTGGAGGAAGGTAGAGCAGACCAAGAATAAGCGGGCATTTGCTGCAGTGTGGAAAAAGTCACTAGAGGCTTGATACTTTTTTACATGCAGCAGCCTGGAGATGTCCACAGAGGCATGCCTGAGGATGTCCACAGAGGTGGATCCAGGCAATAGTTTTTTACAATCTTCTCCCCTTGTGCCCGCTGTGTGTTGTGCTGACTGCTTGTCCCCCTTCTGGTGGTGCCTAGACTTGCCTCTGCATATCTCCCTGCAGGCTGCTGCATAATGTCTAAAAAAAAAACCCTCAAGCCTCTAGTGACTTTAATCACTCCAGTCTCTACAGCATATGCCCACTCATGCTACAGCTCACAGCTGCCTTAATAATACCAAAATTAGTAACAATGGTCTCATAACCATATTCAATAGGAAATGAATTACCTAGAAAATTATATTAAAAAATACAATTGCTTTCAAAAAGAATGAGCACTGCTAAAATGCTATTATTTCAAATAATGCTAGGTTTCTGAACCACAAATTCCAATTCTGTGTCACTGAATACTGATTGCCAATTGTACAAGACAAAAAGCGTCAACAATGCTACATCAAGGATAATGATGCTAAGATAGTTCTCATTTTAGCCTGAAGTGTAAAAACCAAACCTAACCTGATTTGGGTATTTGGGTAAACCAAGCCTAACCTGATTTGGGTATTTGGGTAGTTTTTATGATGCTAAGCAATAGCCTATTCCAGGCTTCCTAATTTGCAGAGCTTTTGGTTAAAAAAATGATTTTTAAAAATGTATTTGAAGTATGTTCTGACATGTCCGCCCTCTGTGCCTGGCAGACAAGTCACAGCGTTACCTGATGAGTCAAGAGGTTCTGTACCTGATGTACCTGATCAAGAGTACCTGATGATTCTGCAACACCACCTGATGGCTAACTCGACGGCATTGCTGACCCGAAAAGGAGTCTAGCAGCTGAATGTTCAACTTCTGCCACTGCACTGTTGACTCTGCCTAGAGACAGCATCTGCACCACGGCCCACAGACGATCTTCCGTGGGACGGTGTGCTGCGCACCAGTCACCACACTGACGGCGTTCACCTGTGTGCTGCACAACTTTCTGTGAGGTCAGGAGATCGACACTGACGGCCCCGGACGGTGTGCTCTGATTGCGCCGAGTGTGCTCCCTCGTGTCCGGGCCTTGATGCCAATACCGCACGCGAGGCGGCGCGCGTCCGCCAAGCCCTCACATACTGCGTCCAAGGTGCAGGTGGTGTTCGGTGACCAGGCATCGGTAGGATTGTGATTGCAGGATTGCAAAATCCTGATTGCATTCCTTTTTGGTGGATTGCACCTGGATTTGAAATCCATTCCAAAAAACAGGATTTGATTGCGGATTGGATTGCATCATATTTCCAATTTTTGCAATCCAATCCGGATTGTGTTTGATAAGTGCTTTGAAATGGTTTGTTGCGATTGAAAATTATGAGATCGGCTTCATCGGCTTAATGTACTTTGCTATCAAGGGCTTTACATCGAAACTTGAAATAATTTAAACGCTTTTAATTTAAACGCTCAAAATAATATACGCTGATGAACTACATAGGAAGGGCAAAATTACGTATTTGAGGGCGAGTTTTAACCCGCGCGGGGCTGGGGACTCCAGCCGAACGCGCGGGGCTGGGGGGGGGGGGTAAATTTTACCCCCCCTGTTATCTCCCGAACTAATGGTCCGATTTGGAAAATTCAAACGCCAATCGAAAGCTCTCATCACGAACTACTAAAAACATGTACTTAATTTAAAGTTTGAGGTCAAGGTCAAGGTCAGGTCAAGGGTACAAATTGCAAGTTTCTACAGTATCGGCCTTGCACCGTAGTTGCCGAAGAATGGAGTCATGGACTGAGACTGATCGCCCAAAACGTGTTCTTAGGCTACCAAGACAATATTCGTTGCATACAATATCATTCAGAGGTCAAGGTCAAGGTCAGGTCAGGTCAGGTCAGGTC